ATATTAAGTTTTTTTTTTTTTTTTTTTTGGTAAAAATAACATATTAAGTTTGATAATCATGACAGTGGATTTTGCATGATTGGACGGACGAACAATGCGTACAGATTCTTAAAAACAGCTGGAATAGTCTCCCCGAAAATGGAAAACTCATAATAGTGGAAATGGTTACACCAGGTGAAGATAAAATGAGAGATATATGTTCTAATATTGTGTTCAGCATGGACATGACAATGTTAACACTATTGGATGGTAAGGAAAGATCTCTCGCAGAGTTTGAAAATTTAGCATATGCATCAGGTTTTTCACGTTGTGAAATCGTATGTCCAGTTTATCCCTTCTCCGTCATCGAAATCTACAAATGAATTCGACATATGCCAGTATGGTACTATTGCCTACACGTAACCTTCTTCTATTTGGCATGTAATAAAACGGTTATGATTACTATTTATGTATGTGATCTTTGTAATTTTTTTATGATTACGAGTGTAATAAACGGTCTGTGTGTCTACATTAGGGGGTGTCAAAATGGGTTAAATGGGTCAACCCAAAATCTAAACCCATTTAATAAATGAGTTGGGTCATATTGGTTAATGGTTGATCCATGAACCCAACATCTTTGTCCAAACCCACAATCAACCATTTTAAATGGGCTTTTTGCAGAACCCAATTAATATAAATAGTGTTAAACATGATTTTAGGTGGCGGAAAAACATGATTTTGCGATTTTGGCGGGAAAAATATTGTGATTTTAGTGAGAAATGATTAAGTGGTTTTGGCGGAAAAAAACATGATTTAACTAATTTGAGGAAAAACATGATTTTTTGGCTTTGGCGGGAAAACGTGATTTTTCGGTTTTGGCGGAAAAATGTAATTTTGCGGTTTTGACGGAAAAAGCATGATTTAACTAATTTGCGGAAAACATGATTTTTCGGTTTTGGCGGGAAAACGTGATTTTCCGGTTTTGGCGGGAAAACGTGATTTTTCGGTTTTGGCGGGAAAACGTGATATTGCGGTTTTGGCGGGAAAACATGATTTTACGGTTTTAGCGGGAGAACGTGATGGGTGAGTCTAACTAGACAATTTTAATTTGGAGTTAATGGGTTTGTTTTTAATTTTTGATTTTACTTAAAAACTAAATGGGTGAGGGTTGACCCAACCCAATAGATACATTAACTTGTTAACCCATTAACCTGTTAACCCATTAACATGTTAACCCATTAACCCATTGGGTCAAAAATAAACAGTTCATTTGGGTTAATGGGTCAATTTGGGTTGGGTCAACCCATGGGTCATGATCCATTTTGACACCCCTAGTCTACATGGTGTAACAATATAGTCTGATAAGGACATTTAAAACATGATTAATCTCGGTTTCTTAAGTGGAGGTTTTAGCTTTGACTAATAGATGGTTCTTAATCTTTTTTAAAAGGTAAGAACCATCTCTTAAAAAAGTGATATTAGAACTTGATCCGGTCGCCGAATGGGTATTTATTTTTACTAATTATATATTCTTTATATACTATATAAAATGACTATTTATATTTTGCAATTTAAATGAATATAACTTCACATTTATATTTTGATCTGTGTATGTTCTTATTTTTGTAAGAACATAATAGTGTGAAAATCATTTTTTCTATCATGATTTTTGATCCATATATTTTTATCATATTTTTGATTGGGATATTCAATTTATGGCTAAGTAGAACATAAAAGTAAGATTATAATTACATATATTGTATATGCTAAATCAAAGTTACATTAAATCATTTTTTTCAAAAAATGGATACATTAAATCAATTATTAAATTTTATTTATAGATAAGCTAAATTATATAAAATATTTCTCCCTCTATAAAAAGGAATGAGCATGATTTTGTAACAAATTATTCAGTTTTCAATAGTAAAAGTATTTCTAAAGATTGTGTTTGTCAAAAAATAATAGTTTGTTAAGAATAAAAATAGTGTTTATCAAAAATATACAAACGCTTAACAATAACTCTTAAAATAAAAATAAAACACATAAATGAAACTTTACACTAATTTCATAAATAATTATAATAATGTATATAATATATTTATATTGATGAGAATAAAAAATAATTACTAAAAATGTAATTTCTATCGTTACATAAATGGTTTATGCATATTATTGATATGTATTAGTGTTGATTGTATTGATATGATGCGTTAAAAAAATATGAATATGAAATATTTCAATTAAATTTAGGAAATGTTTTACTAATTTTAGAAAAGATATAGAAAAATTAGGAGTAACTGTTAGTTTATTAATTTGGAAAAAGACAAAAAAAATTAAATATAGGTTCAGTTAATATTTCAGTCGCATCAGAGTGTAAATAACTTGTATAATTAAGGGATAATTTAATTTCATACTTCTCTTTTAATAGATTAGAATAGACCTTGATCCGTGCGACTGCACGTGTATTAATTTTACCTTTTTATTTTTTTGTGCTAAATGATGTTTTTGTAAAAATTAATCGTATTACATTGAGTATTTGTTTTGTGTGTGTAAACAATTTATTGTATCACAAATATTTGGTATTATATAAACAAATTTAACATGTATACGATATAATGAAAATATTTTTCAATTAAAGATACATCAGATCATCAGAAATAAGAGTTTAGTATGGTATACAAAAGATGATAAATTAATTATAACATTTCTAAGAAAAAAACCTGATGTTCAAATTTTATAAAAATATAATATATAAAAAATTTGGATTGAAAGTTTTAAAATAATAAAATGAAAATCTAATCTATTAAAACTGAAGTACAAATTGGAATTAACCCTTAATTTTACACAAATATTACATCATATGCAACTGAAGAATATTCTACAATTAAAAATGAACATTTTAAAAGAAACAAAGATTTTTGAATTGATTTATTGTTACCATATCTTTCAATTAATGCATTTTCAAAATCAAATTCTAACTAAAAATTTATGGCAACAATAATTAATTTCATATATATATTACATAATTAAATACATAAATGATATGGTAAATATTTTACTAATTCCATATACATAATAGTTAATTCCATATTAATTAACCTATCTTTTAGGATTTTTTTTCTTATTATTTATCTACCTATCTTTAAATAGTTAATGAAAAATATTGTTTTCAAAGATATATAATTATATATTTATAAGTTATAAGTAATAAATAATATAAAAGTCACAGAAAGAAACATTTATATAATGCATAGATTAATATAAATATATTATGTTACGTATATTTTCATATAAATAATAGTCCAAGGTAAATTCATAAATGTTAAAAAACTAGAAATATATTGAACCATATATTTTAAATAATATATACAACAATTTATTTATAGATTATCTAATATACCATGATTTTGACCCGCTTTTAGCCATGGTATTGATATGTTTTTATAAGTTTATATATGTTTTGGAATCTATTAGGTATGTTTTCAGGTTCATGAGCATTTTGGAGTAAAGTGATGATTTAGGTGCCCTTTTGGAGCTTAAAGGAGAGTTTTTCGAGATGACTATGAAGATCAGACAACAATGATACATATCGATCGATACACACCATGTGTAATCGATCGATGACGCTTCCATATGTAATCGATCGATGACGCTTCCATAGAAGATGAAGTCGAGATACTCCATTGATCGATGTACACCATGTACCATCGATCGATATGAAGCGTGGAGAACAAGTCCGACTTGGCCGACTTGAAGCCCAAGTCTTTCCAATATTACAATAATTCCCCTGACGAGTTTTTAACCTAATGGAACTCATATCTATAGTTTTTGCCTATGTGTTTGGCTAGACATGCTTTTATTGTTCTAGTGCTTTTTGTACTTCAAAAGCTTTGCATACTTTTGATTTTGAATTCTTTTGTTCTATTCTATACTTAGCAATAAAGTATTTCTTTTCATCTTAATTCTAAAAGGTTATAGAATTCTAGATTTAGAAGAAACACACAAAGAGATTTGTTGTTCCAAGAACCAAAAGTTTAATCTTCTAATCTATGAGTTTTTATTATTGCCTTGCTGTTAGGAATCTCTCAGCTATGTCTGAGTACATTTCTTTGTTAGATTTAGGGTTCAAATAGTTATGAGGGATTAGCCTCTACTATGGAATGTTGAATTGTTGATATTCATTATCCAAATGAACCCTAATGCTTACTCTAGATTAGCTACCTAGAGTATGATCATGGATGTGATTTAACTTGTTAATCATTGTCCTGAAATCATTTGGCATAAGCTTAGATTCTCTAGGGATGTGCGAGAGCCGGTCTATGATCTTGGCGACCACAGTTTCGATTCAATCTTATGCTATATCGGTCGATACTCCTATAGAGTTATCGATCGACAGCAACCCATATCGTCCGATATCGCTGTCAAAACATCGGTCGATATTGCTGGCAATAAGATCAATGGATGAGTCTATTTAGAAATTGCTATTAGATTGTTGGGCTCAAAATCGGTACGACGGAATCAATAGCCAAAATTCCCCGCAAAAATATAAAAGAAATCGTTTTATAAAACTCGAAGATCGTTTTATAAAACTCGAGAATCATTTTATAAAACTCGAAGAATCCTTTTATAAAACTCGAGAATCGTTTTATAAAACTCGAGAAATCGCTTTATAAAACTCGAAGATTGTTTTATAAAACTTGAGAATCATTTTATAAAACTCGAGAATCATTTTATAAAACTCGAGAATCGTTTTATAAAACTCGAGAATCGTTTTATAAAACTCGAGAATCGTTTTATAAAAACTCGAAGAATCGTTTTATAAAACTCGAGAATCATTTTACAAAACCGCGAAAAACCGAAACCGCCGTAAAACGTGAACTAGTCACGACTAGTTCGCGTGCTGGCGAACTAAACCAGCCGGCTTAATTCGCCGTTGGGCGAACTAGAGACTTCCCGACTAGTTCGCCTGCTGGCGAACTAAGCCAGCGGGCTTAGTTCGCCAATGGGAGAACTAGAGACTTCCCGGACAGTTAGTCAAACCGGCGAGCTGGACCAGACCGGCTCAATTCTCCGTACGTTGAACCGACCATCCCGAGCCTCGATCTCTCGCATCCCCGATTTGAAACTTACGTCCTTCAACATGGTCGCATTCTGAACCACGACCGAAATGTCTCCCGTTTCGTCTCGAACCGACCCATCGTTCGAGTTTTATGATAAAAACCGTAAAACTCTGTTTTCTCGAAAAGAACTCGAAGAAATCGTATAAAACGGCAACGGTTAAACAAGACACCAAACATCGCCTAAACTATACAATTTATTCGAGATTTTTCATTAAAATCGTAAAAAAACGCATTTTTAATAAAAACGATGAGTAAATCGTAAA